GATGAACCGGAATATAATCACGGCTTGAGATAGTTTCTCCTCCAGTTCTGTCGGATCCATTTGTTTCACTTTGTTTTTCAATAACATATCGCAATATTTGGCTAACAGTTCGGGTGTTTTCTTCGACATTATGGGAGACGTTTCCGTTACTTTGTTTTTGTTCACGAAATCCATTAACGCCTGTGTTTTGGAGACATTTTATAAAATAAACAATTAATGATTAATGTTTTCTAAACAGTAATACAACTCAAGACATACGGAATCCAATGACTTATAGAAGGCTCCGTCCGATTGAAGTGCTTTATCCAATAGTGTCCGGTATTTATCGTAGACTTTCCAAATGGTGTCCACAAAGAGAATGGGATCGTCGGGCGCTCTGTCAATGATATTCTCGATGGCGTCGTTGCCATCTTTGGTGATGTGCTCTTTGAAGAATAGACACAACTGTTCAATGGCTGAACTGACGCGAATCACCAGTTTGTAAAGCACTGCCAACTCTGTACACAGATTTCATAACATATTAGACATTAAATGTGGACTAAAGAAGTGGTACTCACTGTCGACATTGTCTCCGACCAACAGTTTCTGGAATTCTTCGATAAATTTGTCAATTTTCTTGACGATCAACGCGTTCTCCACGGTCTCAATGGTCGGCTGTAAGAGTTTTTCGCTGAGATATCGTTTGACACGATTGCGCTCCTCTTCCAGCCGTGCGGAACACCGATACATATAATCAGTGAAACAGTTTTGCTCTAAAAAGGCATTGCTTTCATTGGTGTAGAACTCCAGCGTTTGTTCAATGAATGGCTTCTGGAAAGACTCTTCGAACACTTTGTTGGTGTCCTCATCGGAGTCGCGACCGATCTGTGATAACTCGACTAAACATACGCTCAAAATCAATACATTATTTCAAACAAATAACTTTGGGTTAAGACAAACCGAAACAGTCGACAACACCGCTAACGAGTCGTGTGTTGATGTTCTCGCCATTCCTGTCCTTTTCGATCAGTTTGAGCACTGATTTGNCGCTAACGAGTCGTGTGTTGATGTTCTCGCCATTCCTGTCCTTTTCGATCAGTTTGAGCACTGATTTGCATACCTTTCGACCGAAATCATGCAGAAGACTGTCCTTCCACTCCAATTTGGCCAACTGTTGAGCCAATCATTAAATAAAAACTATTCATTAAATACTATACTCTGAAAGGTGTGATGAGCGCAACACATACCACATTAATGGTCGGTATATTTTTATCGTTATTAGAGGAACAGTAGAAGCGGTTGATATAATTGCAAACGCCGTCCAACACTTTGCTCGAGAACTTGTAGTCTTCCCACTGTTGGGTATAGAAGTCCAACAGTGACTCTTCGTCGGGGTATTCATTGCACCGCTAAACATATCAATCATATGTTAATTCACACATAAATATGACATATTATTTGTCAATCAAATACCTGTCGCTTCTTCTCGATGTGACTTTTGAAGAAGTTGTGGATCTTTTTATAGACCACTTCCTTGATGTTTGAGTTGTGGTTCTGACTCGAGCGGTGACCGTTGCTATCACTCCTCATGTTTGTACACTTGTCGTGTATCAGGCTTTCAATACAACAATCAATTAAACTCAGTATTTGGTAGACAATGGCAGCGATTAGTGGCGTCAAGTGTTATACCTGTAGAACGACATGTACTCCTCCTGAGTCATGGTCTTCTTGTCGTCGGCGAAGATATTGGCCATCATTTGGTCAAATTTCTCCATAAATTCGTCTGATTGAGCCATTGATGCGATCGTTTGATTACTACTCCGCTTACAACCTGCAAATACAATACTATTAGTCAGCACTTATTGTATGCACTAATCAATCATTAGTAGCCAATCAATTGATCCAATGACGCGATCACTGGACACAACAAACACATGTACTCAACGCATACCTCTTTTAACCATAGTATGAATGACTGAACCGTCAGATATATATTGGGCACAGATTTGAGTCTTATTTAGTGTTATTTTGGTTTCAAAAATAGGTTTCACTTTTGGTTTACTTACGTAAACAACGGATCGATTGATATATCAATCGAAACAACTCTTTATTACAAATGTGTTTCGCGAGTGATTTGATGGCCAAATAAGTGGACACCAAATGAGTGGTCAATCAAATGGATTGTGAGATCAACTGAAAGAGAGGCCAAACGATTGTAACCGTCGATTGGCTTTCGCTCTAAACGTAACGTTTGGTTGAAAATGATTTCAATCTCTGAACGCAAACAACAATTCACTGCCTTTTAGACCCACTTTTCAATCGCATATCACGTGATATGACGAACACATTAAACCTCTGTTGCAATGCTTTTCTCTCCACTAATTACGTCACGAAAGCGCGTGCGAAGGGGGAGAAGGGGTTATCGCGCGCTCGCAATGCATAACAAAGCGTTTGCAACAATAGGGTTGCCATTTGTGGGCCCAAAAAGTGTAACGTTTTTTGTTTACAAAGTATTGTATTGTATTTAAAACATTGTGTATACAATACTTTAGATACGAAACATAACTTTAGATACGAGTAATGTTTGATTCATTGAATGACTCAATGCTTTATTAAACACAACTTTAATATTTCTAATAAAATAATTTATTTTTTCTGTGAATAAAGCACCAAAACGCACTTTTTTACTGAGGGGGGAAATATCTGTGGTGGAAATTGCCAACCCTATTGATATTAGTATGAAAATGTGCAGAATTGTCACCAGATGTTTAATAAATTGTCAAAATCGACGAATGGCCAGAGACGTTGGCGTACTGGTCAATATTCAAATCACGCGTCTATTGCTTATAGCATTACATTCATGTGATCAACCATTCATTTTGTGAATCACCTTTTTTCAATGCTATAAGCAATAGACGCGTGATTTGGAAATTGACCAGTACGCTAACGTCTCTGGCCATTCGCCGATTTTGACAATTTATTAAACATCTGGTGACAATTCTGCACATATTCATACTAATATCAATAGGGTTGGCAATTTCCACCACAGATATTTCCCTACTGAGCTTATTAATGATATCACTGCAAATTAATGCACTAAAAACTTGAGCTCTAGTTTCAGTACATTTCCATTATTGAAAGTATAGTTTAATCACTGATTGTGTGATTCAATTGTGCGCTTAGTTTCGGTCACTTTTTTTCTTACTGTGAACTCCGTTTGTGTGAACACAACTGTCGGCCAAAACATATAATGAACCGCAAACTCATTGACACCAATAAAGTGCCCAAATCTCGGGTAAAAATTATGAATCACTCGCCTTTTATTCATACATTTTTCCCCTCAAACTATTGTTAAAACTTTTTCACAAACTTTTCGTAAAGTTTTGTAAACTTTTTCTCCCATTCAAACTGATTGTGAAATCTAATGATGAGCTTATTTTTAGGTGGAATTACACCTCCATTTGGGAGGTTCTGTTCGGTTGTCCACTGTTTGGGAAATCGCCCACAAAAAGGGTATATATTTGGCCACCGATTGAATGCATGCGTTAACCAAATGATTATAATTAATTTTGACACTGAATTTAGGCCTCAAATTGACACCAAACGGCACTTTCAATGAACTCCTAGACTATTGTGTGATTAAAAAACCCGGAAAATTAATTGATTTTTTGAAAATTCTCTCACATTATAGAAAGTTTATTGTGTCCGTACAGACATTACATTTATGTTTTGCACATATTTACGTGTTTTTATGTTTTCAGGGGTGACGTCGAAGCCCTCGAGAGGTGTGCGTATGAGTTATGCGAAGACGAGGCCAAAGAGGGTGTCCTTTACTTTGAGTTACGAACTTCTCCTCATCTCAGCTCCAATACTGTGAAGAAGCGTCACAACAGTCCCGTCCTATCGGTCAGCGATGCCAACGCCTGTTCGCCCAAACAAGTGGTCGAAGCCGTTCTCCGAGGCCTTAAGAGAGGCCAACGAGACTTTGGGATTAAGACATCGCTTATATTGTCGTGCGTTTGCGGATTCCCTGGTATTACTTGTTATCGATTTCTTGATATATTTGTTATAAAATGATTGCATTCTTTAAGAATGGAGTGAAGAAGTGTTACAATTAGCTCAAGAATTCAAAGGCAAAGGAGTTGTTGGCATCGATATCGCCGGACAGGAAGATATGAACTCATTATCTACTCATAGTTTTACCCAAAATGAAGTGATGGCTTTCAAAGCGGCCAAAGAGTTAGGAATTCATCGGACAGTCCACGCGGGAGAGGCCGGACCGGCGGCTAACGTGGAGTTTGCGTTGGACTCGATGTTTGCCGAGCGAATAGGACACGGATATAGTGTGATCAATGATGAGACAATTTATAAACGATGTCTATCAGAAGGCGTGCACTTCGAGGTCTGTCCGTATTCTAGTTATTTCACGGGTTCTGTTCTGCCGATGAATCGAAACCCAATCGTTGTCTTTGCCGAAGACGGCGCCAACTTCTCCATCAGTAAAGACGACCCGACGGTTACGGCCGTCACTCTCGATGACGAGTATGAATATTGTCGTAAACTGGGATTAAATGAGATGCACATCACTCGAGCCGTAAGATTATCATTGTTTAAAATGACTCACATTATTAAGATTACTGTATTTTGAATGTTGTTTAAAACCATTTAGAATATCAATGCAATGAAGGCATCGTTTTTACCCCAACAAGAAAAGGATGATCTCTTAAAGCAACTCTACTCTGTGTATGGATTTAATTACAGTCGACGATCGATGTTGTGAACAAAACGGGTTTTGGCATTTAGTTCATACCATCGATCTCTTCATAGCAAAGATCATAGGCTAAAATATTTTGAATCTATAATATTTTGATTATGATTTAATAATAGTACAAGTTTTGTAATCAAGATTATTTTAAACAAATGCTGTACTTATACAAGATTATGTAAATCTTATTTATCACTAATATTTATATATTCAATATTTGAAAATTTAATTGTAATTCAAGATGATGGAAAACTATACAATTCTAAGAATAAAATAAAATTACTATCAATGATATTACAAAAATTTTAAGGTTTGGTTTAATATTGAATTAATGATAATATGTGACAACAAACGTTTTTTTATAGAAGAACTTTTGTTTTTTAGATGGTTTTTGAACTGCAATAGAGAAATATTATTCACATATTCATGATTTAGATTTATTATGATCGTTTGGTGATAAAATTAATAAATTAACAACAAAATTTAAATAATATTTTGCTTATGATTTAATACACAATACAAATCATGACTTTTGAGTAAATATTTGTATAAATCTTATTTGATATTTAAGAATAATTAAGATTTCAAAATTGAATTGTAATTCAAAATATTGCAAAATTAAGTTATATAATAATCAGAATATAAGCACAGAATAAGAATATCACATTACATCACATATTTAACAAAAATGAAATGTCACAAAAATCTTATTTCAAGTTTTGATTTAATATTTGTACAGAGATATTGTATTATGATAATATTTATTAGAATGTCATTTAAGATAATAAATGGGGGTTATCATTTTTACAAATGCATTAATTGTTTAATTCCATTAAATCTTAAGATAAATACAAGTGATTTTATTGGATAATAACTAACACTTCAACACAAATATCATATTTATTTTAGTATAAAAGCCGTGATTTTAGCGAAGAAAAGTCCTCTTTTGAATCCAATCAAGTCATGTCTTCTTTAATGAGAAAACAAATTGACGCCAAAAAAGTCCCAAAATCCAGAGTCAGTTGTATATTGATATCAAAATATTGCAAACAATATACTGTTGACAACTAATTGTAAATTTATTTCAATGTAAACTTTAGGTTGAATTACATCTGCATTTGGAGGGATCGGTCCGTTTGACCACTATATGGGAGTACTCACAGAAAAAGGGTAATTAAATATTTGATTTCTTGAATGCAAAATTTTTAATCTTCCAATTTTTATTAATTTTATTTATTAATATTTTTATAACTCGTTATGTAAGGCATTAAACTGACGCCAAACGGAACTTATGATGAATTAAGAGATGTTTTCATAATGAAAAAGCCGGAAACACTGCCCGTCTGTTTGAATTTAATCGCTAAATATTATGACATATTTGTGTTTGTATTAAACATTATTTTATTTCTTAATTAATTACAAGATTTCTATCCTTTTCTCACTTACATTGTAATCAGTGGTGACTCCGATATACTCGAGAGAATCGCATATGAATTATGCGAAGACGAGGCAAAACAGGGAGTTCTCTATTTTGAGACCCGAATGTCACCCCAATTGTCGTCAAATACAGTGCAGAATAAGTGGCGAACAGAGGGTAACTTTACGGACGATATAAACGCTATCGAGACACTCAATCCCGTCAATCCCTGTACTCCTAAACAAGTGATTGAAAGTGTGTTAAAAGGCCTAAAAAGGGGAGAAAAGGATTTCGGTGTTTACTCGTCGCTAATTCTCTCGTGTATGACTTCATTTCCGGGTATTCAACGCATGTTTTTGAAGAAATCATTTTATTTATTATTTTAATTATTTTTAAACACAAAGAATTCAATAAAGAAGTGGTAGAATTGGCTCAAGAATTCAAAGACAAAGGTGTTGTCGGCATAGATATAGCGGGTCCTGAGAACCAGCACTCGAAAGAAACGCATTCATTCAATCAGGACGTGATCGACACGTTTTGCAGAGCGAAAGAACTCGGAATCCATCGGACAGTTCACGCGGGAGAGGTCGGGCCCGCGGCTAACGTGGAGTTCGCTGTGGAGCGCCTCCACGCGCAGCGTATTGGACACGGATATAACGGTGCGCTCGATAGCGCTGTTTATCGCAAGTGTTTGGCCGCTAGTATTCATTTCGAGACGTGTCCGCACTCCAGCTATTATACGGGTGGTGTCGACCCCTCTATAAGACACCCGATCCTAATGTTGGCCGAAGAAAACGCCAACTTCTCCATCAATAAAGACGATCCGACAGTTTTTGACTGCACTTTGGATTCAGAATATGAATTCTTGACTCGATTGGGATTAAATGAACTCCATTTCATTCGAGCCGTAAGTGTTATCTGATTCTGAATTTTTCAATAAGTTTATAATTTTTAATGAAATATTATATTTAGAATATAAATGCAATGAAATCATCGTTTTTGCCACAAAAACGAAAGGAAGAACTATTGAAGCAATTGTATACAACTTATGGCTTCATATGACAACTTTATAAAAATTTTTAAATTTCAATTTGTGATCATTTTTCATGAATTGAGAGTTTATAATAAAGTTTATAATAAAGTATAAAGAGTTATACAAATCTAATTGATATATTTATTTGAAAGCAAAAGTTTATATGATTAACATATATACTGTATGTATAATATGGTATAAATTGTATAACATTGGAAACATTCAACACTACTTTTGTAATCATTTTCAGAACGAATAGTCTTTAATCTATTCCATTAAACAATAATATGAATTCTTTATATTTAGCGTTGGTTTCTATTCAAATCATTTGTAAGTTAAATAAAATTGTTTAAGATATCAAATAATTGTTAAACTTTTTTTTATCGCATCTTAAGTAACATTTAGTAAAACTCAAAAGGTTTGTCCGAACGGATGGACACAATTCGAGAACAAATGCTTTCTCTTTTATACGGATAACATTAGCGCAAATATATCGACGATATCTGCTCTCATCTCTTCCTCGACGGTGAAAGAGAAACAGCACTTCAGTTACTATAACACTGTATTAACGGTGTTAGCAGTGGTTCAGCTCATCATAATTGTAGGTCTGGTTTATATAGTGTATAGAAAGAATCCGCTCTCCTATCGAAGGATTGTAAAGATGTCTGAATGTGACACCAATTCTGTACAAAAGTTTTAGTTAACAATCCATTCAATTATTTAATCAATATTATCATTAATAAAATGCTTTCAACTTTCAATAAAGTTGTATTTTATATATAAATCCTAAAAATTAATAAAATATAAATTCAAATATTCTGTAACTTTTGATAAATAAACGCATAATTGTTATATTTTTCAATTCAACACAAGTTTTGATTTTAATATGAAAACTGAACACAAGTGGAGATCTCAATAAAGAAGATGTAATCCACGGCTTACACACACTTCTCTCCAATCATTAATCGCTATTATATTGATTTTAGGCATTTATTTCTCAACTCTTCAATACTTAAATTGAGTGTAAAATGTGTGCAAAAGTGGAAACAAATTGAAAAGGTTTGCATAAATTCATAATTAATTTAATGCCATTTATTATAATATTTCAATTGATGTTTTAAATTGAATGAAACAAATCTAAAGTAATTGCAATTCATATTTTCTATTGAGTGATATATTTTGATACAATTTTTTTGAAATTTATTAAAAAGATATAATTTTTTGGTCACATCTATTGGTTTAACACAATTTCTTTTCATTTTTATGTCATTTATCTTTTAATTGATTAGAAATAAAAGTTATAACACAATTAAAATATATATAAACTCATATAATATTGGCTAAAATATTTAAATTGTAATTATTATCGATATTTAAAAAGTTTTTATTTTGCTTAAAACTAACGTAAAGTCAAACAAAGTTTTGTGATTCAAAATTTGTGCCAAAAAGTAGTCAACATTTGGACTAGTGTTGTCCAAACGGTTAACCAGTCAAAGAATGGTTTGACCGTTAACCGATCGGTCAAAAAAATCTTTGACTTTAACCTTAACCTCGGTTAACCGGTTAACCGTTTTTCACCGGCTGACGTCATTGTGCGCTAATATATTTGTAAAATACCTTTATTTTTAGGGTATTTTGCAAAAGATTTTAGGGTATTTTATTTACTTTTGGGGTACTTTTGCAAAAAGGGCGTAACTCTATTAATAAATGATGACTGCTTTTAGTAAAATTATTAGTTATTACAGTTATTATTATCAATTATTGCTGTGACATCAATTACGTAGCGGTTAATCGGTTAACCGTCGGTCAAAAAATGCTTTGACTTTTAACCGATCGGTCAAAAAAAATCATTGACTTTAACCCGGTT